ATACCATGAAACCCATCAATATGCCATTAAACCCATTATTATACCATCATACCCATCAATATACCATTAAACCCATCAATATACCATTAATATACCATTAAACCCATCAATATACAATTAAACCCATTATTATACCAATAAACCCATTAATATACCATTAAACCCATTAATATACCATTGAACCCATTAATATACCATTAAACCCATTATTACACCATTATAACCCATTATTATTCCATTAATATACCATTAAACCCATTATTATACCATTAAACCCATTATTATACCATTAAACCCGTTATTATACCATTAAATCCATTATTATACCATTATTATACCACTAAACCCATTATTATACCATTAAACCCATTAATATACCAATAAACCCATTATTATACCATTAAACCCATTAATATACCAATAAACCCATTATTATACCATTAAACCCATTATTACACCATTATAATCCATTATACCATTAAACCCATTATACCATAATTTAGCATACCATTATAATTAATTATAAACCATTATAACCCATTATTACACCATTATAATTGATTATAACCCATTATTACACCATTATAATTCATTATAACCCATTATTACACCGTTATAATTTATAACCCATTATTACACCATTATAATTCATTATAACGAATTATTACACTATTATAATTCATTACACCCATTATTACACGCTTATAATTCATTACACCCATTATTACACGCTTATAATTCATTATAACCCATTATTACACGCTTATAATTCATTATAACCCATTATTACACCATTATAATTCATAACCCATTATTACACTATTATAATTCATTACACCCATTATTACACTATTATAATTAATTATAACCCATTATTACACTATTATAATTCATTATAACCCATTATTACACCATTATAATTCATTATAACCCATTATTACACCATTATAATTCATTATAACCCAGCTGCCTTTGTCTCCCCAGCAAATCCTATTATCAGCAAATCCTATAACTCGACCCCATACACAACCCTATACAATAACAATCCAAATTATCGATCATATTAACCGGATATCCTATAATCAGACCCTATACACAGCTCTATACAATGCCCCGATTCTAATATCCGCAAATCCTATTATCCGACCCTAACACATTACTCAAATCCTATCATCCACATCCTATTATCAGCAAATCCAATTATACGACCATAATACATTAATAAAATCCTATTATTCGCATATCCTAATATCTGCCCCCACATTTTTTTTCGTTTAATAATCATAATACTATTACAATTAAAATACTATGATATAATTATATTACTAATATTACAATTACTACAATTATTATACTATATTTATTAGAATTATAGTAGTATTATACTACTTTAATCATAATACTATTAGTTAAATTAGAAAACCACTAACAATAATACTATATTATAATGCCACTACTATAATGATAAAAGTAATATAATACTATAACGATAATAGTAATATACTATGTTAGTAATATAATACTATATTAGTAATATAATACTATGACATTAGTAATATAATACTAATGATATTAGGATTATAATACTATAATGGATATTAGGATTATAATACTATGATAAAATTATACTATAATAAAAATATTTGTATACTACTATAATTATAAAATTAGTATTATACTACTATAATAAAAATATTAGTATTATACTACAATAATAAAAATATAAGTATTATACTATAATTATGATATTAGTATTATACTACTTAAATTAAAATATTAGTAGTATAACACTATAATTCTAATATTAGTATTATACTACTATAATTTAAAAAAATATTATAACACTATAATTCTAATATTAGTATTATACTACTATAATTAAAATAAAAGTATTACACTACTTTATATTAGTATTATATTATCAATATAATATTAGCATTATACCACTATAATAAAAATATTAGTATAACACTATAATTATAATATTAGCAGTACACTACTACAATTATAATAAAAGTATTATACTATAATTGTAATAGTATTATAATACTAGTATAATTAGAATACACTATAAGCATTATACAATATAATGCAACTACTATAATACAACTACTATAATACAACTACTATAATACAACTCCACTATAAGTATAACACCACTATAAGTATAACACCACTATAAGTATAACACCACTATAAGTATAACACCACTATAACACCACTATAACTATAACACTACTATAAGTATAACACCACTATAAGTATAACACCACTATAAGTATAACACTACTATAAGTATAACACTACTATAAGTATAACACTACTATAAGTATAACACCACTATAAGTATAACACCACTATAAGTATAACACTACTATAAGTATAACACTACTATAAGTATAATACTACTATAATTATAATACTACTATAAGTATAATACTACTATAACACTACTATAAGTATAATACTACTATAAGTATAATACTACTATAAGTATGTTATTGATTTTAGACTATAGTCATGATGATGCAATGTTACCTCATCCTACCACCACCATCACCACCACCATCACCACCATCACCACTATCATCACCACCATCACCACTATCATCACCACCTGCTCACCACCCCCACCACCCTCACCACCCTCACCACCCTCACCACCACCACCACCTGCTCACCACCCTCACCACCTGCTCACCCTCACCACCTGCTCACCAGGATGTCCTTCTCCGACAGACTCCAAGGTGAAGAGAAAGTTGCCCTCAATCACCACCACCATCACCACCACCATCACCATCACCACCACCATCACCACCCTCATCACCACCACCATCACCACCACCACCATTACCACCACCACCACCCTCACCACCACCATCACCACCATCATCACCCTCACCACCACTACCACGACCACCACCATCACCACCACCATCACCACCATCATCACCACCACCATCACCATCACCACCACCATCATCACCACCATCATCAAAACCATGACTACCACCATCATCACCATCACCACAACCATCACCACCACCATCACCACCATCACCACCACCATCACCACCATCATCACCACCACCATCACCATCACCACCACCATCATCACCACCATCATCAAAACCATGACTACCACCATCATCACCATCACCACAACCATCACCACCACCATCACCACCATCATCACCACCATCATCAAAACCATCACTACCACCATCTCCACCATCACCATCACCACCATCACCACCATCAACACAATCACCATAACCACCACCATCACCATCATCACCATCACCACCATCAACACCATCACCATCAACACCACCACCATCACCACCATCACCATCACCACCATCACCATCACCACCATCATCACCATCACCACCACCATCACCACCATCATCACCACCATCATCAAAACCATCACTACCACCATCACCATCACCACCATCACCACCATCAACACAATCACCATCACCACCACCACCATCACCACCACCACCATCACCACCACCACCATCACCACCACCACCACCATCACCACCATCACCATCACCACCATCACCACCATCACCATCATCACCATCACCACCACCACCATCACCACCATCAACACCATTACCATCAACACCACCACCATCACCACCATCACCACCATCACCATCACCACCATCATCACCACCATCACCACCATCACCACCATCACCATCACCACCACCACCATCATCATCACCACCATCATCACCATCACAACCACCATCACCACCATCATCACCACCATCACCATCACCACCACCACCATCACCACCACCATCACCACCACCATCACCACCATCATCACCACCATCATCACCATCACAACCACCATCACCACCATCACCACCACCACCATCACCACCATCACCACCACCATCACCACCATCACCACCACCACCACCACCACCATCACCACCATCACCATCACCACCATCACCACCATCACCATCATCACCATCACCACCACCACCATCACCACCATCAACACCATTACCATCAACACCACCACCATCACCACCATCACCACCATCACCATCACCACCATCATCACCACCATCACCACCATCACCACCATCACCACCATCACCACCATCACCATCACCACCACCACCATCACCACCACCATCACCACCACCATCACCACCACCATCACCACCATCACCACCATCACCATCACCACCATCACCACCACCACCATCACCACCACCACCATCACCATCACCACCACCATCACCATCACCACCATCACCACCACCACCATCACCACCACCACCATCACCACCACCATCACCACCACCATCACCACCATCACCACCACCATCACCACCACCATCACCATCACCACCACCACCATCATCATCACCACCATCATCACCATCACCACCATCATCACCACCATCACCATCACCACCACCACCATCACCACCACCATCACCACCACCATCACCACCATCATCACCACCATCATCACCATCACAACCACCATCACCACCATCACCATCATCACTACCATCACCATCACTACCATCACCATCACCACCACCATCACCACCACCCTCACCACCACCATCACCACCACCATCACCACCATCACCACCACCACCACCATCACCACCATCACCACCACCACCACCATCTCCACCATCACCACCACCACCCTCACCATCATCACCATCATCACCACCACCATCACCCTCACCACCACCACCACCACCCTCACCACCACCCTCACCACCTGCTCACCACCTGCTCACCAGGATGTCCTTCTCCCAGACTCCGAGGTGAAGAGAAAGTTCCCCTCAGGCAGCGGATGGGAGAGAACTCCACCCCGAGTCGCGTCCACCACCACCATCACCACCACCACCATCACCACCACCATCACCACCACCCTCACCACCATCATCACCACCCTCACCACCCTCACCACCCTCACCACCTGCTCACCACCTGCTCACCAGGATGTCCTTCTCCCACAGACTCCGAGGTGAAGAGAAAGTTCCCCTCAGGCAGCGGATGGGAGAGAACTCCACCCCGAGTCGCGTCCACCACCACCACCATCACCACCATCACCACCACCACCATCACCACCCTCACCACCCACCACCCTCACCACCCTCACCACCTGCTCACCACCACCCTCACCACCTGCTCACCAGGATGTCCTTCTCCCACAGACTCCGAGGTGAAGAGAAAGTTGCCCTCAATCACCACCACCACCATCACCACCATCATCACCATCACCACCATCACCACCATCACCACCACCACCACCATCACCATCACCACACTCACCACCACCATCACCACCACCATCACCCTCACCACCACCCTCACCACCCTCACCACCTGCTCACCCTCACCACCTGCTCACCAGGATGTCCTTCTCCCACCGACTCCGAGGTGAAGAGAAAGTTCCCCTCAGGCAGCGGATGGGAGAGAACTCCACCCCGAGTCGCGTCCACCACCACCGCCGCCTCCTCCTCACTACCAACCATCACCACCTCCACCTCACCACCGTCCTCACCACCGTCCTCACCACCGCCGCGGTGAGGCAACTCCCCGTTAACTTTCCCGTTCATTTTCATCACTCGGATCGACAACAACAAACAAACAAACCAAAAAAATTTGCCCCAACTTAACAAAAACCCCGCACGATTTTTTTTTTTTTGGTAAATTAATTTGTATTTATTTTTATTTTTTTAACGTAACCGTTCGCGAGCGGCCCTCTGCTCACGTCGCTAATGATCGCTTACTGTCGCCGATGGTTAATTTAGTTTTGTTTTATTGATTAAAAGAAAGCTGAGGCGATTTTTTTATTATTATTATTTTTTTTTTGCCGCCACCGCCGCCGCCTCTGAGGGGAGCTCCTACTGGGACTGCTGCTGACTGAGAGAAGGCGGAGGCGCTGCAGGGACCGAGCTTTTATAGTCACCGGGTGAGAGAGGGCGGGGCTTAGAGCAGAGGTGGGGAGGGAGGGTCGCGGAGTTTGAGTTAGCCACACCCCCCCCCCCCTTGCCCACGCCCACGCTCGCACTTGGCCACGCCCAGATACGCACGCTAGACCACGCCCACTAAAGCGCCCCAGCCCACAAGATCCTTTAACCCACTCAGCCCCCCACCCACTAAGCCCCCCCCCACCCACACCCCCCCCACTAGCCCCCACCCACTAAGCCCCCCCCCCACCCCCACACTAGCCCCCACCCACCACCCACGCCCATGTCACCACCAATGGGGTGGACGGGGGGCTTGGAGGAGAGAGGCTGGGGGAGGGGCCGGAAATGGACGAGGGGGACAGGGTGGGTGGGTGGGGGGGCTGTGACGTCACGGGTGGCGAGAGCGGCGGGGGTGGGGGCGTTAGGGGGAGGGGCGATGGGGGGTGGGGGGGGTGGAATTACAAGAGGGGGATGACGTCACGGAGAAAACTGCTGGGGGTTGGCTGTAAGCGGACGTGACGTCATGGAAGCGCGCGGTGGTGGGGGGGTGGGGTTAGGGCCGGAAGTGACGTCTCGGGCGCGCGAGTGGAGGTGATTGGGGGGGAGCAGAGGAGACGGGGGTGGGGGTTAGGGCCGGACGTGACGTCAATCAGCTGAACCCTATCCCCTCCACCCCTTGCCGAGGATTCTGATTGGGCGAGGGAGGGGGCGGGTCCAACAGCGCCCACTCCTCTAAGTTTCTTGGGTTTTCGGGATAACATTCGCTTTATTTTGGTAGATAGAAGAATAACAATTTAAAAAAAGACAAGCGAATGAAAATACAAAAATAATGAAGACGAAATAATGCTGACTGAGATCATTAAAACATAAAGTGAATAAAAAATAATTAAAGCAATTTAAAAAATGAAAATTAAAACAAAAATCACGACGTATTATTGGTTCTTTGGGATAAAGTCTCCACCACGTGGATAGGGAAACAATAAAATAATAAAAATATAAAACAATAAAATTATTATTCTTGGTTCTTTGGGGTAAAGTCTCCACCACGTAGATAGGGAAACAATAAAATAATAAAAATATAAAACAATAAAATTATTATTCTTGGTTCTTTGGGTAAAGTCTCCACCACGTGGATAGGGAAACAATAAAATAATAAAAATATAAAACAATAAAATTATTATTCTTGGTTCTTTGGGGTAAAGTCACCACCACGTAGATAGGGAAACAATAAAATAATAAAAACATAAAACAATAAAATTATTATTCTTGGTTCTTTGGGGTAAAGTCACCACCACGTAGATAGGGAAACAATAAAATAATAAAAATATAAAACAATAAAATTATTATTCTTGGTTCTTTGAGGTAAAGTCACCACCACGTAGATAGGGAAACAATAAAATAATAAAAATATAAAGCAATACAATTATTATTCTTGGTTCTTTGGGTAAAGTCACCACCACCACGTAGATAGGTAAACAATAAAATAATAAAAATATAAAACAATAAAATAATTATTCTTGGTTCTTTGGGTAAAGTCACCATCACTCACTCACCCACCCACCAACCCACCCACCCACTCACCCACTCACTCACCCACTCACTCACCCACTCACTCACCCACTCACTCACCCACTCACCCACTCACTCACCCACTCACTCACTCATTCACCCACTCACTCAATCACCCACTCACCCACTCACTCATCCACTCACTCACCAACTCACTCACTCATTGTTGGAAGACAAAGGCTGCCGGCGAGGCTCTGATTCCATGGAATATTATCTGGCCTTGTGCGTTTCACCTATCTTCATATTGTATCCCTTATGAGTTACCCCAGCTCCAAAATCTTACGATTATTATTCGGTTCATGTGTACTCCGACATTTGTACCGTATCGTTCATTACGTGTTCTCTCCGGTAATTTCACGGGTATCATTGACGTTTGCTCCCCCCGTCCGTATCCAGGTGATCCGCGATTTCCATTCCCTCGGTCGGATGATGAGGGAGGCAGCTGAGTAGTAATTGTTGCGTATGTCCGTGGATGTCTGTCCACGTGGGAGGGGTGGGACTGGGTGGGGTCGGGGCTGGGTGGGTGGTGGTGGTGGGGGTGGTGGTGGTGGTGGTAGTGGTGGGGGTGGTGGTGGTGGTGTTGGTGGTGGGGGTGGTGGTGGTGGTGGGGGTGGTGGTGGTGTTGGTGGTGGGGGTGGTGGTGTTGGTGGTGGGGGTGTTGGTGGTGGGGGTGGTGGTGGTGGTGGTGTTGGTGGTGGTGTTGGTGGTGGTGTTGGTGGTGGTGGGAGTGGTGGTGGTGGGGGTGGTGGTGGTGATGATGGGTTTGGCCTCAGACTTTCATGCCCCATGCTCGCCCAGATCAATTATTTTAAGAATATATTGGCAGATTTATTCTTAATATAATGTCTTGGGAAAAGGCCTATATATACAACACCACTCACCCATCCACTCACCCACCCACTCACGCACTCACTCACCCACCCACCCACTCACTCACCCACCCACTCACCCACCCACTCACTCACCAACTCACTCACCCACTCACCCACCCACCCACTCACTCACTCACCCACTCACCCACCCACTCACCCACCCACTCACCTACACACTCACCCACTCACTCACTCACCAACTCACTCACTCAGTCACTCACCCACTCACTCACCCACCCACTCACTCACCCACTCACTCACTGACCCACTCACTCACCAACTCACTCACTCAGTCACTCACCAACTCACTCACCCACCCACTCACTCACCCACCCACTCACCCACTCACTCACCACCCACTCACCTACACACTCACCAACTCACTCACTCAGTCACTCACTCACCCACTCACTCACTCACCAACTCACTCACCCACCCACTCACGCACCCACCCACTCACCTATACACTCACCAACTCACTCACTCAGTCACTCACCCACTCACTCACTCACCCACTCACCAACTCACTCACCCACCCACTCACCCACTCACTCACCCACCAACTCACCTACACACTCACCAACTCACTCACTCAGTCACTCACCCACTCACTCACCCACCCACCCACTCACTCACTCACCCACCCACTCACCTACACACTCACCCACTCACTCACTCAGTCACTCACCCACTCACTCACTCACCCACTCACCAACTCACTCACCCACCCACTCACCCACTCACTCACCCACCAACTCACCTACACACTCACCAACTCACTCACTCAGTCACTCACCCACTCACTCACCCACCCACTCACTCACTCACCCACCCACTCACCTACACACTCACCCACTCACTCACTCAGTCACTCACCCACTCACTCACTCACTCACCCACTCACCAACTCACTCACCCACCCACTCACCCACTCACTCACCCACCAACTCACCTACACACTCACCAACTCACTCACTCACCCACTCACTCGTCCACTCACTCGTCCACTCACTCACCCACTCAGTGGGTGATGCTGTTGATGCTGCTGCCACTGATGCTGTTGATGATGCTGATTATGACGCTACTTCTGTTGATGATGCTAATGCTGCTGGTGATACTGCTGATGATGATGCTACTGCTGATGATGATGATACTACTACTGATGATGATACTACTGATGATGATACTACTGATGATGATACTACTGCTGCTGATGATGCTACTGCTGATGATGATGATACTGCTGATGATGATACTACTGATGATGATACTACTGATGATGATACTACTGATGATACTACTGATGATGATACTGATGATGATGCTGATACGACTGATGATGATGATACTACAACTGATGATGATGTTACTGATGATGATATTACTACGACTGCTGATACTGCTGATGATGATGCTACTGATGATGATGGCATTACTACCACTGCTGTTACTGCTGATGATGATGCTACTGATGACGATGCTACTACTAGTTATGATGCTACTGCTGCTGCTGATGATGATGATGCTGATGCTAATGATAATTGAGCAGCATCAGCATCATCAGCAGCAGCTGGGATCAAAAGTCGCTTCCAGCTCAGCTTGGAGGTTACAGAATCCTGGGTCAGTCATCAGTCCAATGGTCACTTTAACACGTGGACAGAGATTAACACTGAACCCTGTGGGAGCCTTAGTCTGGCTCTGTGAGTCTCAGAGATTAACACTGAACCCTGTGGGAGCCTTAGTCTGGCTCTGTGAGTCTCAGTGATTAACACTGAACCCTGTGGGAGCCTCAGTCTGGCTCTGTGAGTCTCAGTGATTAACACTGAACCCTGTGGGAGCCTTAGTCTGGCTCTGTGAGCCTCAGTGATTAACACTGAACCCTGTGGGAGCCTTAGTCTGGCTCTGTGAGTCTCAGTGATTAACACTGAACCCTGTGGGAGAGAGCCTTAGTCTGGCTCTATGAGTCTCACTGATTAACACTGAACCCTGTGGGAGCCTTAGTCTGGCTCTGTGAGCCTCAGTGATTAACACTGAACCCTGTGGGAGCCTCAGTCTGGCTCTGTGAGTCTCACTGATTAACACTGAACCCTGTGGGTGCCTTAGTCTGGCTCTGTGAGTCTCAGTGATTAACACTGAACCCTGTGGGAGCCTTAGTCTGGCTCTGTGAGCCTCAGTGATTAACACTGAACCCTGTGGGAGCCTTAGTCTGGCTCTGTGAGTCTCAGTGATTAACACTGAACCCTGTGGGAGCCTTAGTCTGGCTCTGTGAGTCTCAGTGATTAACACTGAACCCTGTGGGAGCCTTAGTCTGGCTCTGTGAGTCCCAGTGATTAACACTGAACCCTATGGGAGCCTTAGTCTGGCTCTGTGAGTCTCAGTGATTAACACTGAACCCTGTGGGAGCCTTAGTCTGGCTCTATGAGTCTCAGTGATTAACACTGAACCCTGTGGGAGCCTTAGTCTGACTCTGTGAGTCTCAGTGATTAACACTGAACCCTGTGGGAGGGAGCCTTAGTCTGGCTCTGTGAGTCTC